TTATGGGAAACTCAAAGCCAGCAATTGTCTTTAGAGGAAGAAAAGGTAATTGCTACAAAAATGACAACCAACTTCTTCTAAAAGTGCAAGAGCCCTTCCCTTCTCAAGTTAAATTGCAGTGAGAATGTTCTCCTCTACAGACAAGATTTATTCAGCCTTTTGTCTTAAAAAAAATAAAAGCAGCTGCAGATTAGGGCCTGGATGAACACCAGAATAACAAATGAAAATTTCACATATCTAAAATGACAGCAAGGAGGACAGATTTAAGATCTAGCTCATTTCCTTGGTGCAAGGAGAATTTACAGGTAAACTGTAACACCTGCAGACTGAGTGTACTGTGCATTGGTCTCTTACTCACTGCTTTCTGCTCTCATGGGCTGCTCACACCAGAGATTATCATGGTCCTTACAGTGGTTATGTCAAACCTACAGAACTTGTATTAATGTTCCTTAGGGTTTGCAGTTTGGTTAGCATATCAAGAGCTTAGCACACCTACTGCCCTCAGGCCCCCTGGGACAAAAATCCACATTACTGAAAATTTGAACTACTGGAATCTTAGTGTCTTAGAAACTCGACTTGTCAAATTAATTAAATAAATAGTGATAAAGAAATTGTATTCATATCAAAAGCTGAAACTTACCTGACACAATTTGCCATTTTGAACATAAAAAGTACAAAGCAGGTAAATCAATTCCACAAAATTACTCTGATGGCATCAGCAGAACATCTACTGCTAAATATACACTGGGGTTTTTGTCCTTGCTTTTAAGGAATGAGGGTCTAGCACAAAACCTAGGTAGATAATTTACTCCTGCCCGCACGGAGGCAAAATAGCACGTGGCCACTAAATGGCTGAGCAAGCACCATAAAGCATTACCGCAGATGGAGCAGAATTCGCTGTCCTCTGGTGTCAAGGTAATTTTAAGTGACTAAAGACAACTCAAATTTTTAGATCAGCTGAATAGGTGGGTTCTCTGCTGCCATATTAAAGACACTGTCTCAAATCAGTAGCTAATGCCAAACCTCAACATAAGATTCATTTTCATTACACCTATGCCTTACAGGAGTCCAAAGGGCACAAAGTGTTAACTGACCTGCAAACAAGGTCCCATCGCTTCAAGGTTTTAGATGCATACACACATGGTACTTCAATGGTTTCTGGAAGAGACCAGTTCAGCACAGCACCTGCTGCCTTGGCTACAGAGAGAACCTGGCTGATGGCGATATTGCTGCCTTTAACAAGAATGTCAAGTTCAAATCAAATCTGCAGGCGCATTTTGGCCTGACAGTCAGGCCTGTCACTAGGATTGCACTCGCTAGCATCAACTCAAACATGTCCTTGTTTTGATTTGGTGTACTGAGCCTAAGAATGTGCTGTCCAATGCTGGGTTTTAAGTTTCACCGTCACACTTAGTAAATCAGAGGCACCACTTCCCAGGACTGCACAATTCCACTTCTCTGAATTACCTACTTTAAACTGTCAGCATCAAACAAATGATCCCTGAACTACCTTGATACTTCATTTATTTTCAACAGGAACAGCAGATATAAGCACCTGTAAAGACTGGCATCACAGGAACATGCTCTTTCTGATATTCAAAGTAGACAACATACATAGAAACTTATTACTGATTTTGTACAACAAACCAAGCATGGATGGGAGGAAGCAACACCTACATAAAATCTGAGTCTTCCTCGAACACCAAAAATTGCTCTATTAAGAATATACATACCTTGCAACACTGTTCTCATATCACCAAGCTAAGATTAATAAGTAGCTTCTGATATAAAAACATGAAAATAATAGATGCAGTGTAATACATGCAATGCGTTTGCCCGATCTATTTAGATCTATTTTTCTAAAAAAGTTAGAACCCAAGGCAGTGCTGCTGCAACCCACATCTTTGTACTCACGAAGAACCAACTCCTCTCATTCTGTCCCCTGGACGCTCCACACTGTCTGCAAGACAGAACTGCCTCCAATTACGAGTGAAGCCTTGGCTCAGTGTGACAGCATTGCTCCTCTCTAGAGTAATGAATCGAAGAAATGACAGTCTACACAGCCTGGAACAGTAGCTGTGAGGTACAGGTGGGCAGCATATTTAAAATGAGAGCACATTTTAAAATCTCAGTTTATTTCATTGTAAGCATGATAATAGTCTTCTGGTCAAAACTCAGAAATCTTTTCAAAACATACTATAATTTTGGATTTTCCAGTTACTAGAGCTGTGAGATTACTGAAGAGTGTTCTTTGGCATTACATATTCATGATCCCTCCTTTAACTCCTCTATTGGCAGCATTTTTTCTAAATCAGAGTATAACAGACACTGAAGTCCAAAAGAAGTCTAGTTAGGCTCAGGCTTAGCTGGCACGGCTGATGGAAGACACCAAAGACGTACAGACACGATACCTTAGGCGTTTTCTGACAGCCTTCATAGCCTAAGCATCTCATACCACTGCATACAGAAAATCTTCCTTGAGATAAAGATGGTCCCACTGCACTGCCCTCACAGTTTGTCACAGCCCTTTGGCAGCTGCTTCCTACTCACACAAAACTATTTGCTTCCTCGGAATCAGCAAAATGAACATAGTTCAAATGTCTAGGAAAGAGCAATTACTTTGAAGAAGTTTTAAGAGCAAACTTTGTTTAGTAATTGTGAAGAGCACTTCTGAAACGATGATTACCCAAGACTGAAACAGTTGGTAAAATGTAATTACTCACAATACTTTAGAATATAGAAAATATTGCACAAGAAAGCAAAACCAAGTTGAAAAGTTTCAACAAACTCACTCTTAAATTAAGAGGCAAGCAAATTAACAGTGTACTTGCGATTGTAAAACTACCTTGCTTGAGGGGAAATTCTGCTCCACTGATGAACATCTGAAAGACTTCAAAAGATTAATTAAATAATCCTATGGAAAACACAGTTGTTCCTTAATGCTTCCATAATGAATAATACTAATTATGAATATACACTGCACTCAGCATGTGCTTGTGGAATTAATTTGGCAACTGTGACTTTAGTTGAAGTATCACTGCTTGCATCAGAACTGCCTAGGTCTTATTTTTGGAGGGATTTATGAATTGAAGAACTCAAATTATTCACTGCTTAACCTCTGATGCTTTTGTTTATTCCACTGTTAGGAGATTTTCAAGAAAATCTAAATAAATAAAGAACTGTATCTGTGGACAGGAAATTGTGTTACTGGGTTTTTTGGTTTTGTTTCATGGTTTGTTCCCCCTCAGCCATTTCTAGAACTGCGAGGACCTCCCAGGGTCAGGGAAGAAGCTGTGACCTTTCATTAAAGATGCACTGCCAGATGCTCAAGGAAATCCCATTAATCACAAACAAAAATGTAAGAACAATTAGACAGCTTAAGGGTATCACTGTAACTAGTCTAATTGTCATAAGGGAACTGTAATTTATGTAGTCTGTTAAGACATCTTTTCATTTAACAGGTTTTTAATTTTAAAAACCAAACTGATAGTAGGTTGGCATCAGTATTTTCTTCCTACAAGTGGCAATAACCAACCACTACAGAAATAAGCCTCTGATAACCCAGTTCTCACGCACATCCATGTCCCACATTTGCATGAATCTTACTTTATGGAAATCGGAATTTAATACAGTAAACACATTGCAACACTTCACCAGCTCTTAACACTACGAAATAAATGTTGACGCTGTACTTTTCCTTTTTTAAACAAATATTACAAAATTGAATTTTATTGAGTTTCACACAAGATGCACTTATAAAATTGATACAGAATGTCATTCAACAGAAAAAAAATTAAAGCAATTCAAAGCTTTCCTTAGCAACTGCTAAATAATTCAAAAATAGGATACACCAATTTGACAGATAATCTGAATTTCAATGTGTGAACATCTCCAATCAGTATAAAATACATCAAAAACTGAAGAATCTCAGATTTTTCCCCAGCACAAGTCCTCCTCTTTTTATTCTCATCCCTGAACAGTAACCACAGATTTTTCGCCGTTGCTCCAGCTCCTCTTGACAGGAGAGGAGAGGCTGAAAGACTGCAGCAAGAAGCTCCCACCACAGCAGACCACACCAGCCTGTATGGCAAAGCCGTCTCATTACCATGTCTGCTCAGACACGCAGTAACTCTGTCCGCCTGTCTCCATCTGCTATAATACTGTTGTCCTGCAAGTCTCGGGGATTGGCATATAAATTAAACTTTCAATAGCAAATAAAGTTAGGCTTTCCCACTCTGACAAATTATGATATTAGCAAAGAGCAAATTTTGTCCTCATTTGTTCAGCACTGAAGCACTTTTATGATACTTTCCCTTGGAAAGTGAAACTGGTGCTTACTTAAATATCTGAAAGGTATTTGAAGTTAATGCTGTGTTTTAACGATACATGAAGAACCTATCATTAACTAGAGGGTCTCTTCTGATACAAGCCTCCAGCCCAAGTTTTGAGCTCAAATTTATTCCATTCTTGGTCTGAGGATTCCAAACGATCTTTCATCAAATCTTCCACAACTGCATCTCACAGCAAAAATTAAGATGCATAGTAATGCTTAAATGCTCTTTATACTTCTAGTCTATCTACTTAAGTTTGGCTAAAACCAACCAAGTAAAATGGATAATTCTGATTCGATTGTCAGTATGAGCTTTTACAGGCATGTTCTCAGGCAAGTTAATACACAGATGATGTTCTCATCAGAGTTAAGCCCAAAATGCAGTGTAATATTCTTTCTGCTGTGTTAATGCCATACAACACGATACTTGCGTGCGGCAATTCACAGCGCCTTTCTCAACATATGTAAGTGCCCCTTTATTACTTTTTCCTACAGCAACAAAAAAACCCCTCACCTTTAAAAATAATTTTATAAATAATTTGCCTCGCAGGACACACAACACAAGAATTGAATATGCTTCATATCTGCCCAGTTATGCAAAACCTTCATTACTGTGATCTTTCCTTGGCATTTAGGATTCAGATAAAATAGTATGCAATAGTCTTTCCTTTAAAGACAATTTTATTCTGATTACAAGATTGTCAAGATACACCTTGAAAATATTTTTGTTGACAAGAATAACTATCTTGACTGTTTTATGAACCAACGCTTTATGTGTTTGTTGAGATAAGCACAAGTTTTGAATTCTGCTTGCAGATGTTTAATAAAACAAGGTAACGGGAAAGACAAGCTTCTGCTCAAGTTGTGATACATTTCCAGGAATATCCTTACACTGGAGGAACCTTCATGAAAAGTCGTATGTTCTGGAAGCATGGTTTCGTAATGCAGAGCAGGATTATGCTTTTTTTTCCAGTCTGTTTTCCAGAAAAGTGATACTGCAGCTCTGCCACCAGGCTAGAGACTCGCGATCCATCACATTTTCCAAGAGGCAAGTTAAAGATCACTTACTTGACCTGACCAGATACCAAGCCAAGTTACTTGTAGAAAGAAATTAAGATTTTTTGCCATTAATAATTTAAGTTTTTAAATAAATATTTATGTGCCTTTTTTGGCAACAGTCCATTCTGGTAGCATCTGCTGTCCCAACAGCTCAGTATCCTTAGCACATTGATTAAAAAAAAAAAAAATCTTAGTCAATTCTGTTTCCACAAATAGTAAACCTGTCTATCTCCAACAAGTCTTTCTTTGAAGACCTGTGTTTTAATTCTGAACTGTCCTGGCTTATATCTTTTTCGTCTCCATCAGGAGTTGTCAGAAATTGATCAGAATTGCTTGTTACAAGTAAAGACGGCGTATTCTCCTTCTGATGCACAGGCTGATTGGTAACTGATGTAGATCCATTTTCATCTGTGAAAATTCCT